TTCTGAGCCTCAAGTCCCCACTAGGATTTATTGTTGGGTGTGGAGCAGCAGCTGCAGGCCACCACATGAGCTATTGTCTGCTGAGGCTGGCTTTAACCTCCAAATTTCTACCAAATCCAGCTTTTTGGAAGCTTGGCTAGCACTTAAGTCACACAGCATTGCTTGGCAGCAGCAAGAGGTCTCCAGGAAAGAGGCCTATAAAACCATTAAAAGCAATATGATTATTTCTCACTGTTATAAATTTCCAACAGCCAATCCTAGCCATGGAATTTATAATGCAGCCTGATAATCTGTCTTAATTTGTTTTAGGAGAGGGGGAGGACCAGCAAGTACTAGAGTTACGCTTGTATGAGCAACCCAAATGAGCCGTATTCAGATGTGTCACAACATTCACAACCTTATTTAAACATCACACTTTTTGAATTAGAAGAATCCAGTGCAACAGGCTGGCTAGTGTCAGGCAGGAAATACAGAGTCTGACATCTCTGCCAGGAGAGCTGGTGTATGCTGTAGAGATGAGGCACCTGCCGTGGTCAGGGAAGGCACCGGGAGAACTGAAAGAGGATATGTACCAACCAGAAAGCAGGGGAGAGAGAACAGTGGAATACCAGAGGATGACAAGGGAGCTCATGCACTGCCTTGTTCTTGAATGAAGCACTGAAGGAATCATCCACCGACAACATCTAGGACTTTAACTCCAGACTTTAAACCAAGAGGTCTGTGCTTTAAACCTAGCACCACTCCTAATTGTTCCTTGTACTCCCAGCCCCAACCCAGTAGCCAACGCTTGGCCATTAGTTTCAAGACATTCCCCAAGCAGCACACATGCAGGCAGGCAGATCCCCCTATGAGGTACTGATCTTCATGGTGGCTAGCAGGCATTTTTATCCATAACTATTTCTACCTTGTCCACATGGTGTCTTCTAGAGACTTTAAACAAAGTATTAACAACCACCTCTTGCATCTAAGGAAATCACTTCCAATTCAAGCCTGATACAGATTTCTGTAGAAAGCTGACTCAAAGACTAAGGTACCTGGAATTCAAAAAGAGCAGATATTTTAAGTCTAGTAAATTCTAGGCCACGCAGTGAGCCAGGAGATACATTCTTGTATCGAGCTGGAACTTAAAACTATGAAGTTCTTGTATGTACCCATCACAAGATTTAAGTTGAAGTCTGTTGCAGTCTTCATCTCCACCAGTGATAAGGGAACTTAAGCAGAGTTCAACCACGCCATAAAGAAGCCCAAAGAGGCTTCCAAATTCAGATCTAGGCACTGGTCCTGCCTGGAGCAGGGGGAAAGAGCAGTCCCTGGAGAGACTCAGTAACTCCATTTGACACACTTAAAAGCCTTCCTCAGAGCTAGTGCTCCATATTGGTTCCTCTCCTGCTGTCGTGCACCCTGTGTGACTTGTTGCCTCCTTCCCCTCAGATGTAGGCAGTATTTTGCCCAATGTAGAGCAAACTCTGAGCTCACTGAGAGACAAGAATTTCCTCTTGAAGCAACCTTCCCCCCCCCCCCCCGAAAAAAACTTTCATGCTTTCCTGCAGAAATTTTAGCATCAAATCGAACATTTTTTATTTTAAGACATCCAGCATAAACTATGAAGTGAAAAAAAGCAGAATGGTGAAATAAATGCAGAATACCCCGTTTCACATTGTTTTCACAGTGTTTTCTAGTTGGGGACCTTCCAGAAATCCAGACCTGACAAAGTCAATCTCAAAAATGCAAGTTACTACGATAAAGTTTTATAAACCCATTCAGAACATCACTGTTACATTCACTCCCAATTTAAAATCAAAATGCTTCTTAAAATAGTTCTATTCTCCCAACTGTTGCAAAAGATGTTTTCATATGCTCTTCTGACATTCAACTAGAATTTATTAGACTTGAGAGTATTCAGACTCGTTAGTCAGGCCCCATCAATTCTCTTTTGGCAAGCTTTCATCTGAGTGTTAAAAAAGTCACATTGTCACAAAAGTCTGTTGAATAAGTTCCCACACAGCACTTCCAGGCTGAGGGGAATAGCCTAACGAAGGTAATTTCTAATTTCCCCTTACCTTTCAAACATATTTGCAAGTCCGTCTTGTCTTTTTTGCGCAGATCTCTATGTACTGATATCCTTTGAATATCCTTGCTCAAGCATTGAACCGTTTACTAGGGACAGTATACCCTTGTAGCAGCAACCACTTATCTTCCCTTAAAAGCTCTCTCAAGTGTACCATTTGATATTTGTACTGTTCTGCTCACAGAGACCAACTCATTGAAACTCATTATGTTTGAATTCACAGTACGAGAGGAATGCACATGTAATCATTGACTAGGTGAAGTGTCAAGAACCCACACCTTTTAAAATGCATATTTTAGCATCCACAAAGGTTGTGTATCACCAGCAGAATCATTCTGTGTTCTTGAATTCAGTTACTACATGGTGCAAACATGAATTTTCCCACACCTCATCACTATCTCTTAAGTTCTGAGCAAATATGTGGTCATCTTAAGTAGAAGTGCTCCCATCTCATGTACCCTCACACCCCTCTTGCCTAACCCACTGGCACATTGTGGCTCAAAAAGAAAGGGATTTCAAGTGTGTCTGTAACTTGCAGCTTAAACCTAGACAGATGGAGCTGTGATTACGTTTAGTGGGAATAACCTCTCTGCCAAATGTGGGCTACTGCCTCCAGTGTGAGGACACCTGACCAGCTCACATACCTGTTCTTCAGTAATCACAACTACACACTACTTTAAATTGTCATTGGGTTTAGTTCAGATTAACACTCCTGTCATCTAGCTGCAAAGAGAAGATGCAATGCCTGTTCTGCCACCCCTGCTCCCATAGCAGCACCCTCTGGCAGGATGGATGGCAGAGCAGGAAGGTAGGGATGAAGAAACCTGCCCTCCATCACTTATCCTCATTGAGACTTTTAAGCAACAATCCTACATACCTGTTTGTGCCACATCTGGAAGCATGGTCACAGCTCAAAGATTGCAGCTTACCTGCCATAGAACAGGGTAACATAAACCCCAGTAGCAACCCAGACTCAAGGTAATGAGCTGCACAAACTGTCTTTGTACTCTTTAACAACTTGGTTACTAAAGCTGAATGCCTATCCAGAATGCAGCACGGACAAATCACAGCAAGAGTTCAAGCCCACATGCTTTGTGGCCATGTGGCTGTCCTGTAAACACAGAATGAAGCAAAGTCTGCCTGGATGCCAGTCAACACTGCCTGATGCTATCTTTTGACTACTGGGATTAGTCAACTGGTTAATGTCTCAATTCCAAATATGTTCAGTCTCTCTGTCCCACTCCAACCTTTGATACACCAGATCTTTACTGACTTCAGAAGGATGGTACCTGTACTACAATGACTCATTAACAAAGTTTGGCCTAGCTTCAAAAGTAAAAGTATTTGAGAACATGTTTTCCCTGCTTCAAAATACACATCTTCTTAATAGCAACAAAATGGAGTTTTCTTTGTCATTTACATTTGGTAAAATCATTACTATAAAAGAAGAGCATTACAGCCTTAAGATATTTGGAAGGGATTTAGCACGTGCATGTCTTTCAAATACCCCTTTCAACTTTAGAACTATAAAACTATGTCCCTGAAGTAGACCTAGGTCAGAAGAGTGCTTCCTGTCAGCACGTTTGTATCAGAGGGTGCAAGGTGACACAAAAATGCTGTTAGCTGTAAGAGATCCCTCTTCTAAATCATAATTATCCAACTGTTACTCTTCATCCCAATTGCTGAAAGGCAAGTTTTAGAACAGTAAGCTACCAAAATGAAGCAAATTCCTATGTCCTTCATGGGCAATGCAGTCTCATCTGTGCATATCAGCACAGAGCTGGAGTAACTTGGATGCTCCTCAGCAAGTTACTCTTTCACTTACCTATGAGTAGAGTTGAGGATAGGGTCAGAGAAAGTTACGAAACCTAAAGTTAGTGTTTCTGGTTCTGATACAGATAAATTCTTGCTACATACAGGTTGTGCTATGCACAACTATCTCATTTCAGTTTACATGGTCTTTGGGAACTGACAAGTATCTCTGTGTAGGCATTAATACAATAGATAATCCTGTTATAACACAGCCTTGCACATTTCAAGAAGCAAAGCCACACCTTGGAGTAACACCATATTTAATGCAGCTACATGGCTGCCTTCCTAATCTCAACACAGAATTATAGAACCCATTACAAAAAAAAGAAAAAAGTTATCTCCTGCAGGGTTTGCCACCTCTTTCCACGTGTGATACTCATGGCATGATCAGCTTTAAAATTATCCAAAAATTAGCATGTGCTATTACACTGAAACATGAACAACAGAGCGAAATCTCCATTTGTTTCTTCTGAAGGAATGCATCTGTCAGCATCTGAAGCAATGCCTTCACAGCTCTTGTAGTAGAACTTGCAGATACTGAAAACCACCAGGCAACCTGAAGGCACTTCTAGGTAATTTTCCTTTTTACTTTCTCCCTCACCCCCACTGATTTTTCCATGGGAATTTCATGAAGCAACACCAGCAACGACTCGCACAATCACATCTACTGTTAAGATTCCTCCTTTTATGGCAGGACATGCAATCCAATCTCCATTTCCTGATGTTTTAACTAACGCCTTATTGGAACAGAAGCTGTTACAAGATGCCCTAATTTTGCAGGTTAGCTATTTTTTTTTAATGAGGAAGTCTTTCCCCTCTAATAGAACAATGTTACATTCCAATACTACCTGAACAGAAGCATCAAATAGTATCTTGAGTGTCCAGTAACATAGAGATGTAAATCACAGATCACAGAATCCCAAGATAAGCCTGCAAAGCTTCTTCCTACTAAATAAGTTTCCTTTCTGATCCCTTGCTCCACTCCTACGCCTTTAGGGACCCCAGTGGAAGTCAGGTACCACCCATGTGTGTAGCAGACAGTCGTAATGTAAGCTGGACACCACATAAAAACCACTAATGAAAAAAGATCACTGCTGATAAAGTCCTCAAAAATAAGTGACTAGGGGAGACTCTTAAGAGAAAAGGTGCTATAGGAACTGGAAAAGTTGTCTAGTGTGTAATACGTCAAACCGACTAAGAGCATGGGCACAACAGCTGACTTTCAAAGCTGAAACTAAATAAGCAGATGTTGATTCAGATCCAAAGCACCTCCTTGCCCTCCAACAAGAGTTGCTTCCACTATAACACACCTGCTCAAAGAGGAGGAACCCACTAAATTCACTTTATGAAGTCTGGTTTCCGATAATAAACCGTAGGTGCAAAGGTAAGCAATGAAGAGATAAATGGAAAATGAGGAGGTTTATTACCCTTCCTTGCCAGCCACACAGCCCAGTTCTGGTTACATTCTTCTACGCACATAGGTAGCTGAAGTAGTGTCACTGGGACTTCTAGTGTGACAGCTCACAAGGCTCCTTGGTGGCTATTGATTGCTGTGCAGGAGGAGCAGCAATTCACCTTTGACAGAGAAAACTGGGATGTGCTTAATAGGGGAAAGTTTTGATAAAGCCTTTTGAGGTTGTACTTTTCTGACATCAAGGATTTGTGCCACTGGCATATTAATAAAGTTGTTATGGTCCCAATGGGCTCTGATTCTTGTAGTTACTATAATCCTAATGATATTCCAGATGTAGAAAAGAGATAAATCTAAAGGAGATTATGATTAGACAGTGATATAAGATCTTCAAATGGATTATGACTGATACATAGGTTATACAGTTTAGGTGATAAGAAGGGTCAGCACATTGCCTGAGCTGTCTTAGAAAGGATATTTTTACATTTTGTGTGATCTTGTTCTGCCAGATAGAGGATGTACGTATGAAAGAAGTAACAGCTTAGTAGTGGTATTCTGTTTTGTAAGAGCACTTTCTTGATTTTGATAAATAAGGATGTTAAACTTTCCTATTTTATGTTCAAATGAATGGCTGTAATAACTCAGTATGCCAAAGTGAGCATAACGTCAGTAACAAGAACAAACTCATTGAGCCTTACCTAATTTCAAGACTTATCTGACAGTAAGTGCAGATCTTCTGCTCATCCCTTCCACAAAAGGGCATCTGCCCTCTGTTCAAAGTTTGTCTTATCACTTTTCCTCAATTTATTTTCCTTCTGCTACTTAGACTCAGTCTTTACACATAAATTTTATGTGTATTTGTGTCAAACTCCACAGTTCCCAAACTTACACCAATCTGTGCTATGTATTTATCAGCTTTATGAAGCCCTTTCATCTTTGCAAACCCTTTCTGCCAGGCCATCAAGGACTTGCAGCTAACAGATCTGCCTTTCCCACAGCAGCCAACAATCAGCTCAGCAACACAATCCCAGACAGGTTCCTCTCAAACTCAAAGTCCTGGCATAAAAAGGAGGAGAGGGCTACTGAAGGAAGGGAGGGGGAAAGAAGGGATAATGTGGGGTAAAGAAGAAAACCTAAACTGGTAAAAGAGAAAAACAGGAAAGAAGAATGAAGAGGGCAGGCAGAAGGACAAAAAAGTCTAAAGGAAAGGAAGAAGCAATAAACAATGCCTGTTCTCAAGGCTAGATGCTTTCTTCAGTTTAGCCTGACTTCTGCAGTTGGATATATCCTTCACATGCATGCAGAAGCTCTCAGATCACACATAAAGCCTGCACTTTCTTAGTGTTCTGCAGAAGGGTTTACTTAATGTTATTGTCATAGCAGGCAACTGTTTAATATTTCATAGACTGTAGAGCATCTGGACAGCAAATAAACAAAAAACTAGATTCCAAAATAATGAACTTGAGCCTGTATTCACTGAAGAGGAACCAGCAGACTTCAGCAGAACTTGGAAAAGAGCTCAGTTTCCAACTGAAAAAAAATGTGGAGCTACCTGCTTAAATTCACCTTCTTTTGCTAAGTCAAGGCTCTATAGATTGAGGGGTCTTTTAACTGCCATGGAGCTGGTTAGAATAACTTTGCTTCTCCTGGAATAGCCATGGTCTGACTCCTGCTTGTTACAGACTTCTAGATCAGGAAATATAGCCGAAGGACTGGGACTTTGTGTTGGATTAGAGAGAAGAGCCCTGGTCCTGGGAGGCCTGCCTTTGACATATTAGAAGGGCATCAGCACAAACAAAATAGCTATATGGGAACTGATTGGATTTTTAGTGAGGGATGTGTACCTCTTCCACTAGAGATGTAACCAGAGCTGCTGGATTCAGCTTCAGTAATTGGCATGAGACAGAGATACCACAGCATAAGAAATATAGCCAAGAGCAGGAACAGGTCTTTGGTTTCCAAGCACAAGTAGAAGAGGGGCATTTTTTTGTTCTGGTAATGAGCATACAGCCTTCTGCATGATGTTCTGGTCCTTCATGTATCTAAATATTCATTTTCCCAGATAGAATCTGTTCCTTCTCACACAAATACTGTTGCCCTTGATAGCTCCTTACAACAGAAATTTCTTTACAAAGAATTAAATGTGACCTGCTTGGTTTAGTTCAGGATATTTCTTTCTGTTTCACAGGCCCATTTCCCCATACTCAACTAATCCCTGACATGTGCCCTGCTGAGTGCTGTCCCTGCTCTGCATCAGGAGCTCTGTTCTCTCCCACAACATTTGCCTTCCACTCTACTTCTCAAAGACACCCCCAGCATCATCCCATTGCCCTGGCAGCAATTCTGGCTCTGCACCTGCTTCCTGGCCTTCCGCTTTGTTGGCAGGTAAGGAAGAAACCTGTCAGTGCTTGACCTCCAGTCCAATAGGGTTTGCATTTTCTAGGTTATATTCCAAAGCACAGAATGACATGAAAAGAGGAGCTATGCAAGACCTGTGGATTTCAGCCCAGAAACCAGCTTTCCCTGAAAAGGACTATTTTTCAACAGGACATTGACTTAAGTAAGAATTTTTCATCTTTAAGAAACTATGAAATCTGCCTTTCAGTGTTTGTATAGCTCTGACCTCTGTAGTAGTTTGAGTCTTTCCTCTGTCAGATAAGCACTTATCTTAATGATGCTGTACTAAATATAAAATCAGGGTCAAATTGTGACTCAACCTTATGACCCTACATACCAACTTTCCAAAGACCTTTTCAACCCAATAAGCAGTGAAGATCACCATCAAGTAGGGTGGTAGACAAGATACCTTCAAAGGGCTGGATGGGCCATGAAGAGGTGAAGTATCTTGCCCAGTGACCTGAGTAAGATCCCTGGTTACTAAGCTCCCAGCTCCTTTCACTGATCTCAGCCTCTGTCAGAAAACTGAATTCCTCTGGAAACCATTAGTTAACGTACTGCTGATCCTATCAAGCCACAGTGTTAAGCAACAACCCTAGGGGGTGTTTAGATTGCCTGGACAGAGACTCTGCTGCCCGTGACCTGGCCTTCATTAACTGAGAGAATCTAAAGTCAACACAGTAAATCAAAACCTGGCAATTCCCGTAAAAGAGAAAGACTTGCTCTTCAAACCTAAGCCTGAAGGCTTGTGAAACAAAGGTACACTTTTGTAACTATGATTAAAGAGCTGGAAAGGCATGCAAGAAAGGGAAAGAAACAACTCTTCAACTTCACACCCCAAAATAAGGAGATGGTAAGATAAAATCATGCTGTTTACTCACTGCTTTAAAAGCTCTGTTCTCCCTGCGTGCAGTTCAACTTTGGCGAGTGACACCAAAAGGCTTCTGCCTTGCTCTCTTCCCCTTGCTCTTCAATGGTTCCCAGAAGCAGGGATTTCAAAAGCAAGATCGGTCATACAGAGCCGAGAGGCAGCAAGTCTTTATATATGGGAGTGGTAAGAGAGGGTGATATACTCATATCTTTGAGCAGTAAAGGCATGCTACCCTTCCCCCTCCCTGTCCCTGAAGAATTGCTGGCTCACAGGGCAAGCTGAGAACAGAGTGGACACTTTCCGTGCCGCACTTTCTCACGGCAAAGGGAACAGTATTGAGGGTGGGAATCAGGGAAAGACCAGACTTGAATGGAGACAATACTTTGATGTTAGGTACTCCCAGGAGTGAATCTGTTTTGGCAAAGTTGTTTCTTTCCTCTTCGACATGTATCAAACAATAACTCTGCCAGTTGCTGGTTCTGCGTGTGACACAAGGCCTGACAGCAAGTGTTAACAGCAGTGTTGCCCCCACACTCACCCTGTTAGGGAAAAGCCCACTCCTTGCACTCCTCGAAGTTAGCTGATGCTGGAGCACTGCCCTGCTCCATGGCCATACAGCCCAGGAGCTCTGTGGAGGAGAAAGAATGTGTATCCCATAAAAGGTGGTGTCCTGGACACTGACCTGGGAAGCTCAAGAGGCATATCCTGTCCTTCTCCATCAGAGGAAGTCTTGTAGCCTGTGAATGGAGAGGAAATCTCTCAAGGATGTACCATTGCTCTCCAAAGGGAAAATAATTCACTTTCAGCTTCCTCCATTACAGTTTTGTTGATCTTCCACTGAAGGGTTTGACCATGAAAAACTACGTCATGAATTAGGACAAGTTTTGCCTGATTCAGAGCTATAAATTACTGATTGAGTATCTCTGGGATAGCTGTATAAAGGAGATGCCAAGGCTAACAGAAGATATCCATGTGTTCTCAGCTGAGGCAACTGGAAAAGGAAGAAGCCAGCCCAGGCTTTCACACAGTGGAATTCATAGAGTTACTGACAATCAACAGCACAAAGATCTGCAGGATCATGCAACAGCAGCCAAATAAATGGCACCAGCTCATAGAATCAAAATCCTTCACCAGCAGGAACCTCCATGGCTAGTTCTTAGGTTTGGGTGGGGAACGGAGATGTGGCAATGACTCTTGCAAACACAGCTGCTTGTGCAATGTGTAGTGAACTGGACTGGAGAACGACCTTAGTTTTGCCTGTTCCCAGGTCATTTTTCAGCCAGAGATCTCCCCTGTCCTCTTCAAATTACATTGTGCCAGCTTAAGTAAGTGAGCTATCTAAAATACTGCAAGGAGTGTTCCTGTATAGCAAATCATGGTACAAATCTCCCTAAGGAATGAGCCTGCTTTGAAAGCATGAAGAGACTCAAAAGCAGATACATATGTGAGTTAAATCCCCTTCTAACTGCTGGAAGGCTGCATAAGAGATTTACTTTTCAGATCTAGGACAAACTAGCTTTTTCTTACATACGTAAGATTTGTTGACTATATTTGCATTCCCCTGCAAATTACATAAACATGATCTCAGTAAACTACTCCCTCTTGTTCTGTTGCTTTGGAAGAGGGCTGGCTATGGAGTTGTTGGGCTCAAACCAGAAACAACTGAATTGCTGGGATATTGTTATCCAAAGAAGAAATCTGCACCCTTGGCAGGCATTGTGCAGTACAACCACAACCGCAGCAAACTCTTCCAACCCCATTTGCTCAAGGTGCAGCATGTCCTATACCAGGATAGTTTGGAGACAGCCTGAACATGCTATGTGGGTGGCAGAGTGAGCTCTAACCAAGTTGCAAGTAGAAAGAGGAAGAAAACTCATAATAGGTCCCTTCCCGTATTTCTCCACTGATACTCATGGTACTAGAGAGAATCACACAGGGGAGGCTGTGCAAAGATGCCTACCAAATAACAGCCTCCAGTACTCACTACATCTGCAGGAAGACCCTCAAACTCCATAATCTGT